CTGGATAACATCATATTGTATCTTTAGTTAATAGAAAGACTTTTGCAACTTCTCAATCATATGATAATGTTTCATATACCTGCTTAGAATAAGAGAATCATAATAGGTATAGAGAGAGCGTGGAATAAAGATTGAAGGTACCATCAGCCATAAATGATCATCAAAATCCTTCTCTATAAAATAAAGGTCTTCTTTAAAGTGATTTTGAAAATGTAACTGCCAAAATAACAAGTCATTAACAAGTGATGTAAAATTTTCAAACCCATCACAAAGCCTTTAGATTTACAAATTCACCTTTTAAGTTTCATAAACCTTATCAAGAGAAGGTAAATCTTGTTCTGCATCTTATGAACACTAAACATCAAGTGCAATAACTGCTAACACTATAGAATCTTTGTTTAGAAAATCCATAAATGCTAAAATAATAGGATCGTGAAAAATATGAGAAAAGAGCGAGGAAGGAAAAAGAGCTCAAGAATTCCATAACTATAGAATGCCCCGAACAATGAACAATCTTGAAATCATATAACCCACCAAATAGCATAACCAATTAAGTTCTTCCACTTCAACAATAAAGTAGTTGTAACATGATCACTTTTTAGTAATGTCTAAGAACCATGTTGTTGCAAATATGACTTTAAGTATCAAAAGATACTTGTCAACTAACTATTATGAACACTCTCTCCTTACTACCATAACAATAGGAGGTTGGTACAGATGGTTCTTTTTATAGTTCTCACTTGAGCTAGTTGAGAAATTAGTCAATGCATGTGTACTTAAATTGGATAAACATAAAGTAGAAACCCTTATGTGTTTCTTGCTGAGTATACTCGATTTGGTTTAAGAAACTCATGTCATTAGCTTACCCCCATGATATTGAGTCTAGTCCCTCAATATTGTAACTTATTTTATTTGCCAAACACTTTGCTATATGTGTTAGTCCCATTTTAGTTTTATATGGTATTTATGGTAAGTGTCTAGATCCACTCAAGAGGCATATCTATGGAATATAGAAAGTGTTATGAACTCTATAATGTTATTTTTGCACCCTAATTCGCAATCTAACACCATTTTATATTTAGTAAGTTTCACACTTATTCCAAAGATTAACTCTTAGGAGTTGCTAATTCTTCAATCTTTGGTTTTCCTAAAAAAATTGACTCTATATATAACACTTCATCATGCTGATCAATTAAGTATTTATTAGACCTCTTTAGTTTGGATGAACCTTTTGAAAAACCCAACTAAGAGCCTTTTATCCACTTGTTAGAATCCATCTGTTACCAATATAAGGCAAGTTCATTTGTTCTTGTCTTTATCATTTTTTAACTATGTTCTAAAATGCATTGTTCTTATCTCTTCTTTATGAGTAGATTACCAACAATCATGGCCATGTATTGCAATGCAACACAAATCTTGTCCTGTATTAGAAAATATTTTGTTGTGCTTTGGTAGTGGGTGTGGAGCTTAGTTTTGATAATTTTGCTCCCATTGAACATTCTTTACGCTTGATTTCTTTAGCTTGGAGCCTTATCAGTTTGTTAGGACGTTCAATAGGAGCTGAGGTTTGCAAGCATGGTTTGCTCATAAGTTAGACTAATTTAATAGGATATTGTGTAAATTCATCCATGTTGGGATGGTTCTAGACTGTCCATTTTCCAACTTGTTTGAGCTTGTAGACGTGTAAAAATAATTAAACTTCTTAAGTTTATTGTAAGTGATGACATTCTACCTAAACATTATAAAGGTTTGTTGAGTAATGCAAAGAGTTTTACATAGATATTGTTAAATATTTGGTGCAGTATTTTGGAGTTTTCTTTGTTAACTTCACTTTGCAAAATTAATAGAGAGACATGGATATCATTAAGTTTGAGGAAGCAACTCTGCAAGGATGGACCAAACCTCCTTCTTGTATACATGCTGCTAATGTTAATTGCTTTGTAAATTAACTCCTCCACAGTGATAATATATTTAAATCTCATTTTATAATCACATACACTATAATGAAACAAGGCATTGGGGGTGCTTAAGTGCATGATTTGGGGTTCTAGGACCTAACCTCAAGTGTTTGAGCTCTAAGCCTTTTTATTTTGGTTGTTCAAGCTCTAGATACTGAGTAGTTTTAGCAAAACCTTTTGTATTGGAATTGTAATTCAATTTTCCAAATTTTATTTGAAAAAATACTATGAATTGATCTTTGTTGATTGGAGCATAAATTTAGAGGATCAAACCTATCTTAAAAGGAGATAGAGAGTTTGTCAAAAAGTGGTGGAATCAAAATCACATCCAATTTATTGGCCAAAATAATCTTGCTAAGTAAAGAGGAAAGCAAAAGAAAAGCTAAAGGGGAAGAAGAACTAATATGATCCAGATGGGGTCAATAGAAATGAGAGCCATTGAAGCTTTGTTGAGTCATGCTAATAACTTTAGGAATTTCTCTACAAACTTGGGCTCTATCAACTCCTTATTATGCTTTAACTCCAAAAATGTTTATTTACCATGGGAAAGATAGAGCAAATTGTCTCACTCTAGACAGTTCATCTCAAATCAATCCTTAGTAAGAGTTTTTGCAAATGCTTTTCCTTGTGTAGCATGAATTTTGCATTGGCTAGCAAGATGTAAGACTAGTATCGTTACTTGGCAACCTTGAAGTCTTAGTTCTTGCAGTTGCTTATAAACTTGGAACTTTACTTTACACTTTGAGTGCAGACATATTTCATATTAACCAGTATGTGGGAAATGCATCAGGATCTTTGACATTCCTACATGTCTTCAGACTAGGTTTGTGAGGAGTTCCAATGTTGTTAAAGGATGTGCCTCACAAAATTCCTTGCATAAGTAACAGAATATTTAGGCAACACCTCCACATTCTTGGTATAAGTAGTAGAATATTTAAGTAACACCTCCACATCCATAGGATCACCTCAAGATGGCCACTCTATCTCATTCACTTCATAGCACTATAGAGCCCATCGGTCTCAAAGACATTGGTGTAGAAGAAATTAGTGCTAGAGTCTATTTGTATAGAGTTGAAAATGATTGTGATTGAAACTTGTACATTGCTCTTTATGCAGTCTTCGGTTGAGGCATTATGCTAAGCATTTACTCATGTGAAATTCAGATGAATTAATAAGAATAATAGCACAAAATAATGTTTTAGGCGAGAGAGTAAAGATACATTAGACTGGAGCTTAGTACTTTGACTACAGCACTATTGAGCCATGAGCAAGATTCATTGTTGATTCCCTAGATTTGGAAATAATTTAGTGCAAGCAGTAATAAAAATTTAGTGATACTTAATAGTAATTGATCAATTTGTAATTAGAAGAGAAGTTGATATTAATGAATCCAGATGAGTATTCATCACACATTAAGATAAGCCATATATTGTTTTAATGATCATATGCAGTGACTTTGTATTCTTTTTCTTGCTCCTTTGTTGCAATTTTTTGGCACTCCAGGCAATCCAACAATCCTTGGATGGGCAATCCAACATGTGCATAGTCTAACTCTAATATTTCATATAAAACTCTAGAAACCATTAGATAGTAGAATATTATAAATTATAAATATAATATTAATCTAAATGAATATAGAGTTAGATAATAGAATATTCTAAAATATCCAAGCATATTCTAGGTATATGTGCTCCTCTATAAATTTAAACATGGCCTCAAAAATATTTTTAGCTTGATTGTTTTATTTATTTATTTTACAATATAATTAAAGTATAATGATTAACTTTCATTACAATTTATAAATATATCATGGAATAAATAATAATATATCAATTGCACTACGTATTAACTATATTATAAAGCTCTTATTTGCTCTTTACCCTTATATAAGTCGATAAATGTCATAAAATGGTGTATACATTTTTATCTTATTGTAATTTTAATCCAATAAATGTAATAAAATTAATTTCACAATCCAAACTTCTAGAGCATCACATCCTTATTGTTTGTGTGTCTTAGAGCATCATATCTGGGCTTTTGAATCTCCTGCAAGCGTCCACCATGCTCCCACAGGTCAAGTACACAAGGCAGTCCCATATTCCTAGCGATTGAGTTTGCTACAATGGCTAGGATTGGAAATCTTTTCAGAAATTTCATGGCTTCCGCAGTCATGGAACAGAACACTTTATCGGGCTACAAGTATACCATCTTTCAAGACACGAATTTCTTATATGGCATCCACATTTTCAAAATGCCTTTA